ACTATATTTTTAAAATTCCACTTTCTTCTTGTTTGCTTAAAATTTTATTAAGTAAACCTTTATTGTTTCTTAATAGAAAAAGATTAGGCTCAACAAGAGCTTCATTTTGATATATAATACTCTATAAATAGATAAAAATTACAAATTTTATAGCTAAAATACTCTTAAACTCCGTTACAAAAACTGTACTTTAATTTTTGTTAAAAACTTTCTTTTTTGGGGGGATTCTGCCTCTCTAGGATGCCCAATCCTGCAGATCCTTATTATTAATCAAGATTATTAATCAATTTACACAATTCTACTTCTTGTTATGTTTATTCTTACACAAAAACCAATCTTACCATTTTGGTTTTAGTAAATTTACACAAAATTTGCTTTTCATCAATCTTGTTGATTCATCTATCGTGATACTGAGTTACACCCTATTTGTCACACCTAATATTTGTCACACCCATTTATTTGTCACACCCTTTTACTTGTTACACCTTTTATTTGTTACACCTTTATCAAAACTACTAAATTTTACATAACACTATGCCTACTTTTATCTCTGAAGAACTAGACTCTTACAATCTTGACTATTATCATAAAAACTACCAAGACCATCATGAATTGGAAACTACTGAAAAAACTATTACTATACTTTGAGTTCTTCCTATAGCCTTTAAACCAGAAGCCTGTGATTTAATTAAAAAATATTACTTTTTACATGTACCTCTTCAACCCTCTATTAGTAAATGCTATTGTGGCAAGTACTATACTAGTTTTACTTTCAAATACTACAAAATTCCACATATACAACGTACTGCTATTAGAGAATCTATAATCACAATCTCTGAAATTTCTATTAAACAATTAACCAAAAACTGTGATCCATTACCAAAATCACCTATTACCAAAGTACTAGCCCAAGAAGAACCCCACCAAGCTAACCTATGAATACTTTTTCCTAACTTTCAAACTAATCCTAATCCTATGACCATTATCCCACACTCACAACACTATAATACTTGTGTCTTTTGCAGAATTAAAAACCTTCCTTGTGTATCTACAACCAGTGCGAACATGTACTTTACTAACAAAGTAGTAGCAGAAAATTCAGCAATTATATGACTGATGATCATTTCTGAGACTGGTTCCAGACTATTTACTATATAACACTATCGCATAAATCTACGGTATATTTAAAATTTTCAAAACTGTTATAAGTTAGGCTATACAAATTTAATAAATTGGTTCTCATGATATTAAATTTTTAAAAGTGATTCAGCAACCCGGTTTTTAATTTTATTTACAAAAAAATTTATATAAAAAACAAAATTTTTATCGATTTTTTAGAAAAACTTACCCGGATAGTAAATATACTTAAAAGATTTTTTTTAATTTTGTAAAATTTAACCTGGCCAGTTATATATTTATTACTTTAAAATAACACAACTTATTGAAATTTTCACAAGTAATTTATTAAGTATTGGAGAATAAACTTATACTTTTGTGAACATTCATCTTATAAATAGTTTAAATTTTATTAGTTAAGTGAAAAAAATTGAAATTTAAACGTACAAGTCAAAAAATCGAATGTAACTCTTTAGAAATGACTTCTGCAAAGAGTTTTTAGTTAAAAGAAATTAAAAAAAGTGCAATGTCAAGGTGGGTTCTTTAAATTTTGAGCATTATTTATTAATTAAATATATAGGGGGAGTCAGTAGAAATGGGACAAATTTATTAAATAAATTTATTCTATTTTTACTGACTCTCCCCATATTATTTTAATTTCACATAATAAAATTACTAATATAGTCAGAACTTTGTAAATGCACTGCTGTCAGGACCATTGAAAAAAATTTTGAAGTAGTGCACTTAGAGTAGAAATTGTATATAGCTCCTATAAATAGGGTCTGGACTGATATTTAGAGAGTTTTTACTTAGTCTGTGTATTTATGAAGTTCTGACTGTATTGCTAATATAGTTTCGATTTACTTAGTTGAGTTATCACCTAGTTATCACCCTAAAATTAATGTGAATAAAATAATTTTAAACCATATTATTTAAATAGAGATATTATAAAACAGCAAAAAAAAATTTGCATCTTAATATAATTAATCCTTATACTCTCTAAATAGTTAATAGTTTTTTTTTACACTAATTTTGAAATAGTAACAATGGCAGTTTTAAAATTTCTAAAGAGTTGACTTAGATATTATAATAAATGCTTTATATATATTATTTTTCTAATTCTTAATCATAATACCAGTTAAAATAATATTCATTATAATTATCTCTAATCTTATATGTATGTTGTAAACAGCAAGAACATCCTTCCTAAAAAATTGTTGCAATAGAAAAAATTAGAATAGTGAGAAAAATAAGAAAAATGTGAAAAATTAGAAAAGCTAGAAAAATTAAAATTCGTGTTATTTCTGTATAAGTAAAAATCTATTATATAAATAGAGATTCCTTCCAGAAATAAAACATAATTTTGGAGAGTTCAAAGTTCCAAGTTAAAGAAATCAAAGTATTTAACTTGTGATTAGTTCTGAGAATTCGAAACATCTAAGTTCTTTAAGTAGAAGTGTTTGGCTCTACTAATTCTCTTAATAAATAAAATCTGTATTAACGATAGGAATAAGTGACCAAATACTGTAACGTTATATTAAGAGACTTGTGATATAATCCAGAGCTCTAATTGACTCTAGTTACTCAGACCAATTCTTTCTACGCCTTGATCGTAGCCTTACATTATTAGAGTTTAGTTAGAGTTGTTTAGTTTGTATTAGTATAGTGTTGTAGTGTATTCTTGCATTGAAGAGTAGATTTACCTTTTATAATGTGCGATATAGTGTATAATAAACTTGGTCAATTAGATGCTAGTAGAGTGTCTAGAATTCTGCAGTGCTCACATTAAAAAAATTTTGATATTGTATTAGATTTTATAAAGTGATCAAAGTTACTTTTATTTTATGGAAACAATAGACGAAAATATTTTTAGTATGAGCAGATTTATATATCACAGAATTCTGGACACTCTGGATGCTGTATTCAATAGTTGGATCAATATTTGGATGTAAAAAAAGAAATATTCAAACTGCCTTTTTTGACAAATTAGACTTTTATTTTTTTCTTATTTTTATCTGTAATGTTACATTCTTAAAAAGTATCTTAAACTATATTAAGTAAATAACAATAAATAAAAGAATTTGACTAAGCTGTAATTGAAAAATTAGCTGTAGCTTCTTTTTTTGAATTCGGCCGAATCAATAATTTCATATATGTTGGCCAATGTATTCTGATTACAAGTATACAGAATTAACTAACTCTTGCATTTTCTGATATATATATATAGAAATAATTAGAAATAATTATGCAAATTATACAGTGCAAAGATTACATATATATATATAATTATTTCAAAATCACTATTTTAATATTAATTATAAAATGTGCATCCAAAATGTGTTACCCGAATCGATATTGGGAATTTATTAATTCGGCCAAGAATAGTACATTTATTATAAGATTTGTCACTATCACTTAAGTTTCTATGACCCACAAAATGTATATAAATAATTGATTTTGATCTTCAGGATTCTATGTAATTGTATTAAATACACCAGTTTCTGTTTTCAATTTACCTGTTAATATCACTATCAATAAATAAAATAATAAATAAAAAATAAACTTGTAACAATACAAAATAAAAATAAAAATAAAAATGTCTGCCTCAAATGATGTTATTAATATCGCCAATGCTGAAGAAACTCTAGGTTGTGCTCGTTGTGGAAAAGATAAACTAACTGCTAAATTTACAAGAATGTGTACAGATAAAACTTTAATGCATGCTACATGCAATGCCTGTTCAGATCAAAAAAAGCAAAGTAGATTAAGTAAAAATTTAAAACCCAAATCGATCAATGATAAAAATACTTCTTCTTTATCCTTGGATAAATATGAATCTGTATATATAAACATAGATGGTAGTGAAAACAATGATGATGAAATTCTATATAACTTTTGTGACCTTGAAGAGCTTATTCTTGCTAAATTTAAAGACAGTGAAGAAAAGGAAGAGAATGTTAAATTTTTTGTAATAGTGAAAATTGAAGAATTAATCAATGAAGAAACGTCTAATAATGAATTAATCTTAGAACTTGATCAAATTAAGAATAAAAAATTTTGTAATATTATCATACATTACTTATGCCTCTTGAAGCAGAATCAGGTTATTACTAAGAGCTTCAAAATCTCTATATAAATAAAAAAAATAATCAATATATGGGATATGCAATAGCTCATATAGGTTGCACTCAAAGAATTGATTATTAGCACAAATGTCTGGATGACCAGCCTATAAAGCAGATTAGAGAAGTGTGCCCTGCTATTGAACGCTATCAGTGTGATAGCAATATAGTAATTAAGATCGATCTGTGTGACCAAAAAGTCTTAATATCTGTTCAGCATTTGATAGCCTATAAACATC